GGTAAAAAAAAAAAAATAAAAAAAATAAAAACATTTTTTAATACGAACTGCTGGACTCTATAAAACAGTTGAATTCTCCATCCACTAATCTTCTGTATACACACATCCATCCATCCGCATCCCACCATATACACTTGACAGCTTCCATGTTTCTCCAGTCGTAGCAATATGTTATATATTATTATGTCATTGTAAAGAGCCTCTTGACAGCTAGGCAGGATAGTCGTAGGCCAAACCAAAACTAGGAATGCCTTGCCAGGGTTTAAGCAAGGACTTTGAGGTCTGATTATTACCCCGCTTATCACCAGTTGGTAGAATATATTGATTGCCTAATTATACTGCAAGGTTGTTGGTGAAGTCCGAGACATTTGTAAAAATATATTTTAATGTAATTTTTGAGAGCACTGCCCAGGAAAGCTGGTGAAACGGGCTTTTTTTCAGGCAAGTTTTTAATGTATAGCTGAAGCACAAATATTTATTTGGCCTATTGTATTATTCTACCTGGCTGTTCTCTAGCTGAGTGGTTGTCAGAAACTGAAGTAGTCTTCTTGTTACTGATAGCCAATTAGTTGGTTGATCATTTCCGAGAGAGAGATGGAGATAGATGAGTCTTCTATTTTGAATTGATTAAGATATAGATGAAAAAGAAACTAGTTTTTTGTAATAGTATTTACTGTTAATGTTATTGCTCTATTTAACTAGGAATATCGTTATAACTATCCATATAGTTATTTTAATATAATTATGATTACTGTAATTAGTATCAATTATATAATAAATTCCGATTCCTTTTTTTAAGTTTTTAATGTAATGCAATAAACAAGACAAAGTTTTAACGTTATGTTATCCTTTCTCCTATTTAATTGTATTATTTCCATATTTTCATTTTTCTTAATATCTCTGAATTCTGTCATTAGTTTCCCATAACCCCCCTCCCCCCACCTTCACATTATTTATTCTGATCATAGTTCATAGATATTTATTTTATCAAAACCATTTTTATATATTCAAAAAAGATCTTCCATTCCCTGGCTAAGGTATATTAATTACGACAAAGTTTAAGCACCTAGTCTTTAACTGTACTATATATTGTTTATATATTTTTTCTGGCTTTGATCAACATTTGTCAGCCGTTACTTTTTCATACAAATATTTACATTTATAATGAACTCGGCAGAGTTTCTATTTATTTTCTCGTATTTTGTTGTAACCCTAAGGTAATGATCACTCTTAATTGCATTTAAAAACTAATCTGTGCAATGACTTGGTGTGGCTTAGGCTCACTTGGTGTGGCTTAGGCTCACTTGGGGTGGCTTAGGCTCACTTGGGGTGGCTTAGGCTCACTTGGGGTGGCTTAGGCTCACTTGGGGTGGCTTAGGCTCACTTGGGGTGGCTTAGGCTCACTTGGGGTGGCTTAGGCTCACTTGGGGTGGCTTAGGCTCACTTGGGGTGGCTTAGGCTCACTTGGTGTGGCTTAGGCTCACTTGTAACCATGCAAAGTTATGTTAATCAAAGATTATTACTTTCCCCTTTCCTTACTTTACATTTATTACGCGATTTTTCAAGCTAGTTCACTGGCCCCTGTTCTTTTCCTTTACATATAATTGTAGTCATTTGTTCTCTCCTTTCAACAGCTGTTAACATTTGTTGTGGCTCACTGGGATGACTTGACTACCTCCCCCAACCGCCTTGCCGTCCCCTTTCTTCATTGGGTTTGTTTATACCTACATGGTTGCTCTTCTAAGACTAGTTCCTACCTCACCTCACTTTTCATTTTAATGCACTTGGTTCATCACTTTTACTCGATTTGTCCTTTTCTTTACATTCTAGTTGTTGAAACCAGTTTGTATGACCTTCCTGTAACCCTCCTGCCGTTCAAACAGAAGGATGTTACTATATTTTCGATAATAAATGTTACAAATGATTGTTTCTGTTTATGGATATCCTTTTTCACCAAGACTTCTGATATGCCTGAAACAAAAGGAGTTTGCTTAGTAAGAAGTGAATACAGTTAGTTCTGGTAAATATTAGTAAAGATCCACGAGCTTAAATGAGCACGATTTCAGAACAGCATTATTCTTGCAAGCATATTAAGGAATGGAAGTTATAATAGAGTATGGGCAAATATATGTAAAACTTGTTCTGTAACTCTGGAACCATATTCCATAGTATTAACGTCTGAAAAAAAATTATGCACAGGATGTGTCCACTAGTGATTGCAATGAAAATGCACGTCAAATGTAAAGAGTTGTATTCCAAGACAGTGAACGACAAAAAAAAAAAGAAAACAGGTTGGTAAATATTGGCAATAAATGTCACCATTTCCTCAAATTTAGTTCAATGGAAAAAGAGAAGAACTAGATGGAAAGAAGTTTTTTATTATAATTTTCTACCACAGAAGTGGTTAAAGTGTTAAATAATATTTAACCAAAGAAGTCAAAATTGCAAGTGCTCCATTGCCTTTGGAGTTTACAGGGGTTTAAAACTGTAAGTTTTGAAA